GGTTTATCTCTGGCAGGCCTAATGACTGCATTGAAAGTCTCACACATGTTGTTCAACAACATGTTGGACTTGCAGTTTGGTGTGAATGCATGTCTAGACCAATGGTGGGGAGGAATGTTGATTAAATACTCATATGCCTCTTCATCGAGGAATTTGATAGACTCCATGGCAATTTCATGCTCAAACTGACATATAAAAGCATACCAGAAATCACACCAAGCATATACAAGCTAACCAATATAAAAACACACCAACAGTCATATAAAAGCATAGGCTAGCTTCAACAATCAATAAACTTACAATGGTGGTGGCCCTAGCTGCTCTCCAAAACAGCTCCTTAAAGGTTGATCCAGTGAAGTTGAGCTTGAAGTTAGCCCAAATATGCCTCACACAAAACCTTTGCTCAGCTTTGGGAATAACATCAGCCATTGCTTTAATCAAACCCTACCAAATGCAGACAAAAGTATAATCATCAGTCAATCACATACATACACATGAAAACTTAGAAATTGAACCTAAATAGTTAAGAGGGAAACAGAAGCATTACCTTTTGCCTGTCAGACATGATGGTCAGCCCAGCTCCTTGATCATGTGTGAACATTGACATAAGGGATTCCAAGAACCAACCCCAAGTTTCCTGGTTTTCAATCTCCACTGTGGCCCAAGCTAGAGGAAACAAGTTGTTATTCCCATCCTTAGCAACTGCCACCAGAATTTGCCCAGGAAAGGCACCCTTGAGGTGACAACCATCCAACCCTATTAAAGGCCTACAACCCTTTGCAAATCCATCTCTCAATGGCCTTAAACAGATGAACATCCTCATGAACAATGGTGGCTCTGGCCTGTCAATACCATCAACAACAACATTGCACCCTGAACCAGGGTTGTACTTCATCACAGCTTTCCCATAATCCCACACCCTAGCATACTGCTCCCTAGCTGAACCAAATATCAGTAGTTTTGCCCTACACCTAGCTAGCCATGCCTTATAGTAACTCACATCAACTCCTAAATCATTCAAAATCCTAGCCCTAATCTCCTTAATTCTCCAACCAGGGTTACTCCTAAACTCTTCTAAATACCTCTCTGCTATGTATTCAGCAGTAAGCATCTTGTTCTTCTTTACTCTGAAGCAGGAATGGTCTAAATTCAAGGTTTTGATTTGCCAAGTTTGCTGCTTAACAAGTTTTGATGCAAACACCTTGAACTGACACTTTACCCCCCCCACACATGTACAAGCAGGCATTCTACAAGTGTAGCTATTGAACTCACAGCCACATCTATATCTACACTGAACTGTAATCCTTTTACTGTCATTATGCAAGTAGTAGAACTCATACCTGTTTTGAATGGCATGAAGTCTTAAGGCCCTCCTCAAGACTGAAGCATTACTGAATTTCTGATTTAACTTCAACTTGATTGGGTTGTCAAAGTCCACATCAGCATTAAACCAAGGAGCATAGTCCTGTTCCTCATCAGATCCACACAAACTCCTTGAATCATCTGAATCAGCATCACTTTCTGGATTCACCTTCGGTTTTCCAACATCCAAATCATTTCTCAACTCTACTCTCTTATCTTTGCCAACCCTGTCATCTACTGCACTCTCCAAACCTTTCCTAAGGCTCTTGTTCACTTTGGCCAAGATCTCCTTTGACCCTTCAATATACCATTCCTCATCCCCTTCATCAAATTCTTCTTCACCAGGTTCCCAATCTTGTCCCTCATCACTCAAATCTGAACTTGAATAACCAGATCCTTCACATCCATCATCCTTTTCTTCATCAAACCTCAACACTTTAGCATTAGCTGAGGCTTTCCTAGGTGGACTCTCCTCCCTTTGTTCAGTTTCTGTCTTCTTAAACCTAGGGCTCCTCCTAATAGTCGATGTATTTGAACTTTCTACCTTCTTATCCTTTTTTTTTTGTCTTTGCAGGATTGGGTTGGGCCTCTTGTATGGGCTGACTAGGAGCTTCTGTTGTTACAAAAACCTCAACATACCCCTCTTCATTTACTGTCTCCAAAAGGCCCTTAACCTCTTCACTGTTAACTAGTTCCCTTTTCCCAGTGTTAAAGGTTTTCCCCTTCTGCCTATACCAACAGCTGTAATGCATAGGCACATCCATATCACCATTAACAAAACCATGAATTGCAGCTGTTCTAATCAAATGCACATCCAACTTAGATACTTGAACCTTCCTCTTCCAGTAACACCAACCACCACACCAACACAGCAGCTGCCTGTTTTTGGTTACTCTTTTAGGGACAAAAGCACCTCCCACTCTAAGGCAGATGTCAACCAAACTATCCTTGTCACCCATTATCTACCCACCAGTGAAAAACATATAAAACATATTAAAAGCCATGTAACTATACATGCACAATACGAATAAACAAATCCATCACAGCCACACAAACAAACACATAAAAAAATTGAAAATAAACATATACAAGCCAATGTAGGTGCTCAGTAACATAAATTAATCAACAAACCACACTTGCTAGTTTAATTAACAATAAACCACCTTAATTAATCTCTACTTTCAATTACGAAATCCAATTAACCTAAGTCGCATAGTCAGTTACAGAAATTGATTTATCAAGGCTTTCCTACTGTGGTCCCAAAATTTACCCTAATTACCCAATTATTGCAAGGTTTACAGCAATGAAGCACCAGTAATTGACGAAATTGCTATCAAAGGAGAGCAATTTTACCTTATTTTCTGTGAATTTCAAGCGGCTTTCGCACTTTTGTAGTTGAAGAAGATGATGAAGAAACCCTCCTGAGCTTATCTTCTCCAACGTTGACACCACCCTACACTCCACTTCTCAGCCAAGATCTCCTTTGGTTCAAAAGCGAAATCAATGAAGGTTCAGAAAGAATTCAATGCAGAAGGTTGCTGCGAATTCAATGAAGAAAGAAGTTTCGTGTTTTGCTGGGTGAAAATTGAAGTTCAAGCCAATTTGTGGGACCCACGTTAAATTTCCGTGACGGAAATCGTTAACTGGTGTTAACTTCCAACTTTTATATTTTTGGGAGGTGTTAAAATAAAAGTTTTTTTTTGGGGGGTGTTAAAAAACATTTTCAGCCTTTTGTAAGGTGTTAAAATCCAAAATATCCATTTTTTTATTTAATTTATAACTCCTAATTTAGTTATACAAGAATATAATTTTAAATTTATAATAGCAAAAAAATTTAATTTAAATCAATAATTATATGTAAAAAAAATTGTACTATTAAATTACATTAAACATCAAATATATTTCGTGGAATTCTAACAAATTGTTAAAGGCTGTAAATAGTTCAATTTGAATGGAACGGGTTGTAAACGGTTCGGTTTAAATAGTTTGTAATCGGATCGGTTTAAACGGGTTGCGGTTTGAAAATAGTTCGGTTTAAACGGTTTAATGGGTTATAACAGTTCGGTTTAAACGGTTAGCGAGTTGTAAATGGTTCGATTTAAACGGTTTTTTCCTACGGTTTAAACGGTTTCGGTTTATAAACGGTTCGGTTTAAACAGTTAGCGGGTTAACATTAATCGGTTCAAACGGCTTCGGTTTATAAACGGTTTGGTTTGTTATTGGTTTGCGGTTCGTAACGGGTTAACATTAATTGGTTTGGTTCGGTTTCGGTTTGACATTATACGGTTCAGTTCGGTTTTCGGTTTAAAATTAGCGGGTTATAAACGGTTCGGTCCGTGATGGTTCGGTTCGGTAACGGACGGTTTCACGGTTCAGTTTGAAAAGTCCCACCCCTAGTTTGGTTGGTATGTATAGGAAAGTAGGATGCCTCATGCCTATTGCTATGAAACAAAGATAAGGACATAAATAATGGTATCTGTATTATACTGTAAAACTAAAATAGTGGTCTTGGTCTCTATTGTCTATGGACCACTCCTTTGATGTTAAATGAGAGATCGTGACAATACACATCAATTTACACCACAAAATATAAACTCAGAATTACAGAATTGGAATGGCTTTAATTATGACATTTTCTGGACAAATATATGCAACAGGTTCTTAAATATTATTTTGTTTGAGTAATGATATTATTCCTTATAGTGCACAAATGTACATTCTAATATCATTCATCTTACTCCTTTTTTGGATTTTTACATAAGAGGATTTTTTTTGTATGTTTTCGAATCTCTTAGGGTTTGTTCACATTTACTGAACTGCGCTGAGCTGAGCTGAATTGAACAGACCCTCAGAGTAACCCTCTTGATTAGCACTCATATTCAATTTGAACCACTAATAACCCGAATTAATACTTAACCTCAACTCCCAAAATGTTTAATCACCCAAGTCTCCTAAACCTTTAACCACTATTGTTGTCACCTCATGCCTATCCTAAACCCCCTTTCTCACCTTCATCCCCAACCCCCAACCCTGACTCTCCTTCGTTTCTCCTATGCTTCTCTCCTATGTAAATTTTAGGTCCTTAACCAAGAAGATCCAAAAGCTTTTACTTGTTGATTGTATTCACTTAGTTGGATTTCCAGCGTGCTTGTCATCATCTACTGCCACCGCATGTTATCCTCCATCCCTCGTATCAAGCTCTGGGTCGCTCATGCTTTCTTCATTTGAATTCTCATTTGCCATGTCCACATCCTCATGGATATTCATTTTTGCTCTGTTCTTCATAGGCATTCCTCAGAGGGGAATAAATCCTAACGAATTTTAAGACCTTTAGATTTGTGCACCTACATTTTTTTTACAGGTTCAGCAGCACCAGTAAACTAATCTCATTAAAAGCATGTTTTGCATATTAATAAAATCTTCTCGAGACTTTAAAATTTTTAAATTCCTATTCTGAACTTTATATAACTGAAACAAAAGGAATAGCAAAGTCGGTAGAAACAAAAATCCCACGACATTGATTTGTTATCGAGACTTGAAACTCTACAAATCAGTTTTCACCACTGCAAAGTGATATTTAACGCAAGTCAATATAGCATTCAGCAAAATACACCAAAGAAAAAAGACTAGAGACGCCGGAGAAAGAAATACTTATTCTATTTATTATATTTTCATTAAGACATTACAAGATGATTTTATCACAGCTACGCCTTGTAAAGACAGGCAGGACAAACTGTTTCACAACAATACACAACTACCTCAAGCCGGTTGCATTACAAGATTTACTCCCCCCGGATACAACCCTAATGACAATTTTATGTTTTGATGAAAACCTATAAATAATTTTATTCTGTTATCCATCAAGGACAAGGCGATAACTGGCTAATAAAAGCTACATAAAACCAAATCACAATGATACAGGGGCCTTGGCCATATTAATTGCACACCACACAACAAGACCCTGCTGCAGGGCACTCACTATCAATACATAAATAATTAGTCACCTACTTCCGAAGAAGACACGTTTCAGGCTAGGATATACAGCCCGAAATTTGTTCGCAGCTGCTGAAGAGAACTGTTGTAACAAGAAACGCAAAGCAAAACCATTAATAAAAACAAAGATTCAAACTAGTAATTCTGGGTTATAAATTCCAACAAGATTGGGAGCTAACCTTGGGGCAAAAGCGAACATCAAGAGTTTCCAAAATGCTACATCCAGATATTGCAGATTCCACAGTATCTTCGTCAATATTACAGGACTAAAACACATCCAACATGCCCCCAAACAATTCCAAAACAATCAAGGAAAAAATATTAGTATAAAGCCATAAATATGAATTTTAAAAAAAAAAAAAAAAAACACGAAAAGTGATTGCGCTATAGAGAATACAGAATAAGCAATAAAATGACTTTGGCTGAGATTTTTACCTGGAGAAATAAGCTAGTCAATTTTGGACAATCCAGCTTCAAAATTTCCAGGGAGCAACAGTTACTGAAGAATGATAGCAGGCAAAGGATTTTGCAGAATTAAATGCCAACCAAAGACGAATTAACAAAAAAATTAAAAAATAAAAACATAACAAGTCCATACCTCAAATTAAGGAAGCATAAATTGGAACAAGCAACATCAACCTCCTTTAAATTCAACGAAAGGGAAAGGTTTAATGACGACAGATGGATACACTGGGCTATAGATGGAATATGAACTCTTTTAATATTTGGACACCCAACACAATTAAGATTCTCAAGTGAGCGATGAGGCAGCTCAACGGGCATGTTTGTATGTCGATCTGATGGCAGGGCAGCAGCCTGATAGATTGAGAGCTTTGTGAATCCCCAATCTAGATCATGCATATTTTTGCAGCCATTTAGACTCACATGGGTCAAATGTGTGCAGTGGGCTAGCAGCTCCTCAATGGCAGATTGGCAAAGTGTCCCATACGACAAGTCCAGCTCACGTAATGCAGGCAGCGTGCCCTCTTTATACAAAGCCTCCAGTGATGAATCATCCAGATATTTGCATGCTTGCAGCTTCAAGACCTACATCAAACATAAAAGGGAGTGGGATACTATAAAAGATTCTTGTCACCAATAAGTGTTTAATTAACTTTTCAGAGAAGAGATGTGGTTTAATCCTAGTACAGTAGTACCACAAATAGCAATCTTTTCAAATATAAAATGATATAACAAGCCTACTGCTTCACACTCCATCTCAAATATAGTGACTATATAAGAGGTCAAACAAGTACAATATTAGTAATCTAGCAAATTTAATAGATATAATAACCATGTATGACATATACAACTACTGTTCTATATATTCACATAAATCTAAATATAAAATGTCTAGAAAAAAATTATGGCATAATCATCATTTTCAATAATTTCCTATTATATAAACTCTACTACCGAATGTTCAAATCACTTTCCATTTTGAGCCATTTCAAAAAGTTGACTCACTTCCACTTCATTCCTTTTATGGAAACCCTCTGTTAACATCTTACGGTCTTACCCCTCCTACCCCACAGTATTTACACTTTATTACACACTTCATCCAATTTTTTTCACACCCACCACTCTTTACCATATCTCTCTTACTTAGTTTACATTCTTCTTACACCCACTCACTTTTTGCGTGCATTCTTAGAAACAAGAATCTACAATAAGCAAGTCACACTTTTGGGAACAGACGGTTTACATATCGATAAAAAGAAGATAAAAAATGCAAAAAGACTGAAAACTATAGGAAAGACAAAGGAAGCATTGTAAAATACGTGCCGCCACCACCACCACCACCACAACAACAACAATAATAATATAGCACCTTCATAATAAAAGCCAAGGTATATCAAGCAAAATTCCATGCATCAGTAAGTCCCAGATCTAAAATATAGATTGCTAAGTTGACAGATCAGTTTGCATCCAAATATTTTTAGCTTTCCTTTCATGACTTCTCCCTTTTTCAAGAAGATACTGGAAGAGCTGTAACCTTCATTGGGTGGGTGGGGTGCTTGGTGTTACAAGAATAAAGCAACATAATTCTCATGCAAATGGAAGACCATACCACCACATAAAGATAAAGCAGCAATGAAAGCAACCAGGCAAGATATATAACTACACATCATACATGTCTTTTTGTCTGCATACGGCAACTAACAAAATAGAGTACAAGAGCAAAATTCTCATAATTTATGCTTGAAAAATTTACCGTAAGCCATGAGCAGGAGCTGAAAACTGGTTGCAAATCCATCAAGAAAGTGTAGGACAAATCAAGATAAGTTAGATTTTTAAGCCAACTTAGAGAAGATAGCCCATCAGAGCCAATAGAGGGACAAGACATCAAAATCAATTTTTCAATTAAAGGACAAGAAGCAGTTGTTGCAGATAAGCAATCATCTTTGAGCTGGCTGCAAATACAAAGTTATGAAAGTTAGATACAGTTCCTATAGTGACAAACTTCAAACTTAAGTTTGTTTGAATCACCTGCAAAAGGATGCGTCAAGGGATGTTAAAAGGGGGCAATTGATTGAGGCTTCAGATAATACACCACATCCTTTCAACTCAAGACCAACCATTTGAGGTGCTTCAATATGAAGAGCACTCAGTTTTGGACAAATGCCCAGATTAAGAGATTGCATACCAACCTGCACAAAACTCGTTATTAACTCACATCTTCATTAAATAAAAAATAAAATAAAAAAGTAAAAAAAATAAAAAAAAAAATAAAAACCCAAATGCTAGACAAAAATGTTTAATTTGTACATTGTAATGTTTGCTATAACTTTACGTAAACTAGCAAGCAGCACAAAACAGGTTGTCCTGGCCTAGATTATTTTGTATCTGTCACAGGAACATGCACATACTTTCAAGAAAGATATGATACATGATAAGAGAATATTAGTTGAATCGGACCCAATAAAATAAACCAAATACAATAACTATGACTCCCTCTGGTGTCAAATTATTGCCCATTTTGGCTTGGACACAAGTATATAGAGTGAATAGTAGGATATTGCAGGCTTTTTTGGTATATATTGTAAAATAAGAACAAAAATTTGATCGAGTGAGATTGTATTGGTGGAGGGCACATCACATAAGATATGACCAAAGAAAGTGAGTGAGGCAGTGCTGAGGACAAAATTGCATGCATGGATTGGATGATTTGGAGAGGTAAAATTATTAATTAAAGATAAAAGGGCTATTGAGGGAGAAACACTGGAATATAACAGCTAGTAAACAATTAACATAACATATCCCAATTTTGTGTGTATATGTATAACCATTACAAAATCAAATGAAAAGCTCATACTTCAAACCAGAGAAAGGCTACACACTCACGGCCAAGGAAAATTTTACTCCTTCCATCCAATTTTAGACAATTGGGTTAATGAACAAATGTTTAGGGTAGAATATAGGTAGAGCATGAGATAGTTAAAATATTTGAAGGTAGTTGATGGGAAAACTAATGTACTTGGAGAGAACAAAATAAAGCATCAATTAAGGCCTCTTTTAGTTGCATATGGGAATTAAATGCCTATAAGAAATTACAATATATGGGAAATTTCATAGCCTAGGAAATACTAAATTTGTGTTTGGTTGACATCGGAAATCGTATTTCCCATAAATTAGTTTCCTATGTTTTGTTTTGTTAACTTACGTAATACCCATGTATTATTATAACTTGAACTGCTTTCCCAAAATTTTGAGGACAATAATGTAATTTCACCCAAAATACATGTGGGAAGTTTGAGTGACCAAGGTAGGATGTGAAAAATTAATTCCCATGTTTTGGAGGACTTCCAAATTCCTTAGGAATTTCCAACTCCTACATTTTTGCTAATGAAACAAATACTCTTAAAACACATTCCCCATATATTTGTATTTCCCCCATTATTGGAGTGCAATCAAACAAGGCCTAAGATTTGTGCCCAATAAGGTATGTTGAGAAATAAAGAGGTGAAAAGCAATTGAAACCTCAATATCAAGGAAATGAAAAAAAAAAAAAAATTAAGAGGTAAAGGAAGTAGATATATAAAACTTTATGTAGTACAGAACTACAGACTACAGAGTAATGTTACCAATGCATCAGAAAACCACTCACCGGAACAAATGATGCTATTTCAAGATGATCACACCCATCTAAGCGAACTTGCTCAAGACACGGACATTCGAGATTTAGAGCTGTGATGGCACGGCAACCAGCCAGTGAAAGGCTGACAAGAGACTTACTACGCAGTCCAACAGCTGTCAGACTCTGGAAAGAAAAGGTAAAAGAAAATCAGTAAGAGAGTCACCAGCTGACTATTAAACCCAGAGAATAATTATTCCAGAAAGAGTATGTAAATGCACAAACAACCCACGCACGCGCACACACACGCAGGGGTCATTATACTGACACAAGACATCCAGATTAATGCATTTTCATTTTCACCAGAATAATAGCAGACTTCTTAACTTAAGAAGCACAAAAGGGGGGACTGAATTAGGAGAGGGAGGGGGGGGGATTATTACAAAAAAAAAAAAAAAAAAAAAAAACCAAAACAAATCTGTTTTGTCCAACTTGCATTCTGCCTTTAAACAACAGAAATCATCGTTTATAGATATAAAAAATAAATAAATGAAAAACAATTTGTAAAAAAAGGCACTATACGGCTTTTTCAAACAGAAGACACTGCTCCATTTCGGTGTACTAAAAATTTACAGCCAAATCACACATGATAAATACAGTTCACAAAATAGCATGACGAGATACATTTATGCAAAGAAGCACTATAGCACTTGAAAGCAGAACTCAACACATAATATATCACACACTAAACTAGGACGATGCTGGCATTTACTCAAATAATTCTGTCTAATCCTAGAGGATAGCCACTAAGAATCAAGAATTCACTTCAAGCAACAAAATTTTACCACTTCCGACAAACAACAGGCAGCATCAACCATTGGGTAGGCAACAAAACAGCACACAATAGAGTCCTACAATAGTAAAAAAATGAAAAAAATTCCTTCAAGATAACAGCAGACATGAGAAGCATAATTCGTATCAGAGGAACTCAAACACAGACCTCACAGTTATCAAGAACCAAGGATTTCAGCATTGGGCATCCACCTCCATCACTGAAGACATCACACACTGAATTTGTCAAAGCCTCACAGTCAGAAAGGTCCACTTCTTCAAGATATTGGCAATGCAATGACAGAGAATTCAAGCTTTCTTGTTTATGCAATGCTAATTTCTGCATGATCAGTATAAAATATTCAGATGACTTCACAATTACAAAGGCATATCTGCTGAATAACTGATTCATGCTTCCAAATTACAACAACAAAAAGAAAAGATATCTTTAGTAATTCAAAATGACATACTTTCAGTGCAGTTGAAGTGATACTAATACGGTGAAGCGCAGGACAATTAGATAAATTCAGAGATGACAGCATAAGGCATCTTAGATTCAAGTCTACAAATCTGCAAAAGAAAAAGAAGCAGAAATTTGTTAACCTATATGGACTAGGAAGATGATCAGAACCATTCCACAGATTAAAAAAGCATACTTGCGACAATGCACCAGACTTAGGTTACTCAAGTGAGGAAGCTCTAAAGAAACAGAGGTCAATAAATGGCAAAAGTCAAGCCCCAACACCTACAATATGCAAAAATCATAAATAAGTGATTACTAGTCCAAAAAAAAAAAAATTAAAAAAAAAAAAAAAAAAAAAAAAACAGATAAAGTTAATACAGTAAAAAGAAACCAAAAGGATCCTGACCTCCAACATGTTACTGAAAGCTATGGCAGTCATTGACGCAGAAGTTATCCCCTCACAACTCTCAAGCTTCAGAACAGTTAGCAATGGCATTTTCACAGCCTACAAGACAGAAAAGAGATGTCATTTGATATATCATTAAAAAAAAAAAAAAAAAAAAAAAACTATGTGTGCGCAAAACTTAGGGAGAAGAAAATTTTCAATAAAGCTAACCTCAAGAGAGATGTTGGGACAATATGAAGCATTAAGTTCACGAAGATTTGCACAAGCTTGAGCTATTTCACGAAGTGATTCATCACTAACACATGAGCAACATTTCATGTCCAGAGTCTCTAAAAGGGGGCATGACGTGACAGCAGAACGGATTGCTGCATCTGGAAGCTTGTGGCAAGAGCCGATATCCAGATTATTCAAAAGAGGGCAGTTAAGCACCACATGAGCCATGTTACTACGCTTCAAAGATAAAGTACTAAGCTGGGGGCACCTGCACAGTACAATGTCTATCAGCAAGTAAACACGGGTAATTTATTTGTTCTTAAAAAAATTGAAATAAAAATTTATGAAAATAATGACATGTGATTGCCCACCTCACTGATACACGCAGTACACGGCATTTTGTAACTTGAAGATGTTGCAACCTGTCATGATTGATGGATATTTCTTGTACACCATTTCCAAGAGCAGCATCACAAACAATCAACTTCTTAAGCAAGGGACAATCAGAAAGAGCATGAAAAAATGATTCCCCAAGTTGTCCTTTACCCAAAGTTAAAGCTTCGAGATTTCTGGAAAAAAAAAGGAATAAATAGGATACATGAACCTTGGAACTAAAACTATACTTCTAATAGAAAGCATAAAGACGTGAGAATCTTGAGACAATGTACCTCAACAAAGAAACTGCTCTCATGACAAGTGTGTGCATATCAGGATTACCACAAAGATTCACTTCAGTAGCCCTTGGATACCGATGACAAATATCTTCCACTACAGAGAGAAAAACCAATAAAAAAATACATAGTTGACTCAAAAATTAACATAAACCAACCATAAAAGCTGCAAACACAAGAAAGTAAACAAGAAGGCAAAGTGTTTAAAGACGACTGTTAAGTTCTAAAACTTCTGTAGCATCTGCTTTACACATGTTGTACACAGTTAAATAAGGTTTCATAACATTTTAATCAACTGCCCAACGGCGAATCTCATGAGATATGACCTTATCCTGGATAAAATACTCCAAACAAGAGATGGCTTTTTACACCAAGATGACTCTACAGCCTCAAAACATGACATTGACTGGAGCCATGACCTGCACAGTTGTCATGCAAGCTCAAGCATACATAATTCCAAACTTGTATATTCAACGGTCTATGTTGAAATATCTCGCAAACATCACTAACATTACAATCTACAAGTATCAAGGCCCTAATTTTAAGTATATTATTGACCTATAAACCATGTACACCAAAAGAAAATGTTGAAGGTTAAGATTTCAGCACCCATCCTTCAAAAAAATAATTATGGCATCATTTAAGGAGAGAAGCAGGATCCCAGTACCCAGGTTAATTTTATCTTTCAAGCAAAATTGAAGTCCCAAGGAACATATAGTCCAATAACAGCATGAAAAAACAACTTGTGAGGGAAAAATTACAGAGAGATGGGCAGAGAAGAGGCCAGGCAGAAGCAGAAATAAAATACACAAACCAGCTTTTTATATCAAAGACCAAAAATTTCACACAATAATAATTAAGATTACCTGATTCACAAACCGAGAAAGATATCCTTCTCAATCATCCATTCAATAATAATACAGAACCTAGACACAACATAGACTGACATTCATGATATTCCATATAAACAGGCACTCGAAGACAAGGCCCACACAAAATTGTTTCAGCATACGCCTCTAGCACAGTTTCGTAAACTCGTACTTCAATTGAAGAGTACAGATTTTAATAGCGTATTACTAATTTCAATTTTTGCTATGGATATATCTGAAAAAATATATAAATAAATAAAAACACTTGATTCTTGTAAAAGAAGAACTCACATTGTGCTACAGATATGTTTCTGTTTTCAAAATCCAATGAACGCCAAAAATCTTCATGGGCACTGGCAGCTCGCCACTGCTTGCAAACCATTGCAGCAATGCAGAGATGTGCATGGCCTAGGAAAGAAAATACCTGAGAGCGCATGGAGAAGCAATTAAAATTAAGTCAGAAGATCATAATTAAGAAGCAATACAAATTTACAATGATCAAACTAAATTACAACACTCTGATGTCTCTCTAAAAGTCATAAGGCTCCCACTTGCCATGCGATGTACTATGTTAATCAAAATTGGTTACAAGTGACAGAGACGAGTACATGCCCAAATGTCCAACAAAGTTGTTTTATGAAACTTTTGCATGAGTTTGGGCAAAAACAAAGTATCTTAGTGTCATATCAGTGTCCAAGTATCCAACATAGGTACTTGAGATAAAATGAAGAGTAAGAGTAAGTCGAGGGAATATGACGGGGTTTACGGTACAATCCTGATATTGTAAGTGCAGATCAGCAGCTTCCAATAAACCCTCAGCAAAAAAGACAAACTAACTACTCTACAGCTAATAAAAAAAACGGTACCAAGACGCGACACTTGATTCAGATGATTATGTTCAACTGCCTAAAAAATGATTAAAAAAAATATCTAAAGACATCAAGGAAAAGTTAAATCAATAATTTTACCATATGCAACAAATCATCTGAAAGATCCAGCGGGATCCCCATACCGTCCATATCTGAAGTATCAATAGTGCCCTCAATAATGTCTCCATCTTTATTATAGCTTACAATATTTACATATTCATCCATTGAAGGCATTAGGTCTCGAATCTTATTCAATGTCATTGCATAAACAGAAGAATTTGAAGAGGCTTGGTAGCTCCTTATTGCATCTACGAAGTTATTATCAGTACATGAAGGTGCATCTCTTGAGCAACTGGTTTCTCTGGACAAACAGTATCCAACAAAGACATCAAAAATCAGTTACAATAGCACCTTGACAGTTGGCAGTAAATCCTAATTCTTGAACCATAACAAATAAGATATCAACATCTTGTTAAACAAGAGGAAATGCAGTAATCAGAGTCAGTATAATAAGTCTTTTCTCCAAAAGACAGAATTTATGAAAAGAAATTGGGTGAAAAGATGGTATCTAGAAACAAAGGGCTTCAATGTAATCACCAGTTTTTTATTGTATGATTAGTATCATAAAAAAGGCCTAATTTGATTAATTCAAACAAGAATTTCACATATGATTTTACAAATTACTCTATTGCATCATTGATACTAGTACATAACTACCCCGAAATTGATAATCCTAGCTCCTCAAGACCCCATCCAAACCCCACATTCCAACTCCCATTGATTCACACATAATAAACAAGCCAAAAGGGGCAGGGTGACAATGTCATCAAAAAAAATTGAAAAACCATTCCTTTCAGTGTAAATTGTAACAACATTAGAGCATAATACAAGAAACTCCGATAAATATCAAGGAATTCATAATTTACTACTGATCTTGGTTGCATTTTATCACAAACAACATTTCACAGAAATATCCAAAATTGAGCAAGAGCAGGGTGGAAAATAACCCTTACAGCAAATAAGACTCGAGTTTGGCGCGCTTATACTGCAACTCGGTGTAGATATCAGCCTTTCGTGGTAGCGTAAACGAAACACCCCCACAATCAGTTACATCAACTTGTAAAGATGGGGCAGAATCATTCAGAGACGGCAAAGGCCGACTACTACTACCACCAATCGAAAGCTCCAACGACTCGAAATCACTCTTTTCTCTCTCAACAACAAAACCCCCAAGATCTCTCTTTGAACCACCACCCTTTAATCCCTCTTCACTCTTCTTATTGCTACTACTACTACAACTACCAGGTAACCCTAAACAAAACCCTAATTCCAAATCCTTCGACAACAATTCTTCTTCTTCTTCTTCTTCTTCTTCTTCTTCTTCTTTGCCTTCTCCTTTCTCTTCTTCTTTTGCCTCTTGTTCTTCTTCCTCACTTTCAACCAATTTTTCACTTTCAATTTTAATCTCACCGTCTCTCGCACTTTCCATTATATCTTCTCTATCGTCGCCGACGAAGCATGGAAGGCAACACCAAAGACTCATACAAACCCTAAACAACAAAAATTCAACCTCCCGAAAAACCCTAGATTAACCGATTTCACCCAATTGCAAAATTGAAATTGAAAACCCTAGAAAATGAGGGATCGATCGAGTGAAATTGACAAGTTTGGGAAGCGAATTGGATGTGAAATTGAAAAATTTACATGGCACGAAGATCGATCTTGGCGCAAAAGCAGAGAAATGAGAGGAATGAAAGAGAGAGAAAGAAGGGGGAAAAGGAGAGGAGAGAGAGAGAGTAGATCAGATGGAGTTAAAAGGGGGAAAGAAATGAGAGAAAAGAGACACAAATTTGTTTATGTTCAGTTGTTCACAGAGAAAAGATCGCCTATTCGCCTGTTTATGTTCTCAGCAAGACCATTTTCAGTTATTTAGTGCATACTTCACATGTCTTTACTCTTTAGACTTTACGGTACCGGTATGTCCGTATGTGGATCTCAACTAGTTTTAACGATTGGATTTTGTCTCATCACTTTTAATTTTTATCTACTACAATCTTATTTTATTTTATTTTTGTCTACCTTAAGTATAAAAAAACCTTTTATAAATATATATAAACGAATTTATTATTACATGCAGTTTTTTAAAAAAATAAAACGGTTTGATTAGGATAGATTAATTTTTGAATGAGGTATTGTATATTTTTTTGAAATTTTATAGTAGATGGCATTATTAGATTGGTATAAATTAAAATTGAGCGCGTGAGATAATTAGAATGATGAAAGTGGTATACTATACAAAAATAATTTCAGGCAACATTTTGAGATGAACAAGACAAACAAGTACTACGTATTTAGGACATTGTAGATATATACTAATTCGAGTAGATGGTTCTAATTAGTTGATTACTCCCCATATTTCAAAAGGATCTAATTTGACTTTAGCAATATTCACGCACATTACTTTGACAGTTTGACCAATGTTTAATGTTCGTAGTCTAAAACATTGAATTAAGGCATTAAGCATAGGCATGTGAGTACTCGCTAGAATCATATTAAAATATACTCAATTTTTTAATATAAACTTTTTTTTATCATTTATATGTTTATTTATGTATTGATAATTAAACTATTGGTCAAAAACTCAAAATTCTATATTGATAATTGTCTTAGTCAAATTAGGAAGCTTAATTAAGAAAATTTTGAACCAGGGGAGTATAAGTAAAATCTCCTGCATTGTCATTGCGATTTTAGTCACGGTAAGATAGAGGCAAAGTGGTACGGAGTATATCTGTAAGCGCCGATTAGTACCAAATTTCCCAGTTACATACTACTCGGAGTAGATATATCTTTTTGTAAAGGCATATTTCGATAGCCCTGCTTGGGCAACACCAGAAGACGGACAATAGACGGTGAGATGACCATGAGCTCAGTTAGTTGGGTCAGAGGTTACACATTCTCCTGGCTAAAATAGTTCCAACATCGAGGATCAGATCGAATGAGCTAAATTCTAAAGGAGCATTCTACAACATTACTTATAAGGAGCTTGAATTATCAACAGAAGTTAGGGTAGAAAGATTAGGGAAAAGACAGATAATTATAGAGCTATTCATATCACAAACCAATTTCTGTATAACAATTTATGTTTAAGTGTCGTATGACATCACATCTCAAAGATTTCAGTACAAAAACAAATTTACATAATGAAAAGGGACTTACGGTCTATCTACATGTTACAAGTTCATCTGGGGGTGGGAAGTATCACAATATTGATTGCAATTCTTTCAAATCCTGATCCAACTCTTCAGGCACCTCATTGTTGTCAGGGTTTCGATAGGAATCAGCAATTGCTTTCGATTTATCAAGCACATCAGTGGGAACTGTTTGGAGGAGGCTGCAAAAAGATCAGAAAAAAATGTAGTTTTAACATACATTACAAATTCATACCCTTCATTCTTCTCTTACAGTATAGTTCAGGGTAAATTACACAGTTCAGCGCAAGAGAGGTTTACCTATCCAATGCATTCACAGCAGTGCTAATTTTTTCTTTCATCAACTTGGCTGATGCATCCCCTTCATTTCTTGAAGCGCGTAGGAGCAAAGAATCAAGTTCATCCACAGCTCTTCAAAAGGGAACCACCAGTAACATCACAAACATCCAGAATGGTTGTTAAAATTATGATTAAACATAAATCTGATCTATAGCATGTCTGGTACACCACCTGGATCATAAGCAATGATTTTGACATAGAGACTAAAGTGTATTAATGTTATTCCATATTTCCACCCCATATCATCTAATTCTTTCGAATTTGTAATAGAGCATGACTATAGTATACCCATAGACCCAAACCATAAACTAGATGGAAAAAGTGACATGCAAAATGAGGTGAAGCTAGAGCATGAGATCTTCATATCCCTCCTAATTTCTTTTAGCTTTAACTTAGAGACAACCTATACAAAATAAACACGAGTTCCAGTGTGCTTTTGAGAGGATTATTGTATTAGATACCTAACAGTAATATTATACCCACCAATCACGCAGCCTCCTTGCAAGTTTACACTAATAGAAAATAAAAGTTTTGCATCCAATCCACTTCATAAAACAGAAGATTTCTGGATCAAGCTTTTGGAGGTCACAATTCGTTTTCCTATTCAAGGCAAAAGTTTTCAAATCCTACATAACCTATTTATAGCCAAACAACAAGGTTGTAATCTTCAGCTTTCTACAATCTATAAGTTCTAAATTAAATTGGCAATGGCCAGTACCTGAGACATCGATCAACATCATCAGAGGCAGTCTTCCCCCTTCCACCATCAGAGGCATATTCTGCAACCTACATTTCAAAGATGACTTCAAACTCTAGCACCACCAAGAAGTATAAGAAACAGATAGATATTGAAACACTAACATGCAGTGTCAAGCAATCAAAACCGTAGTAGTTCCTCTAAAAACTAAATAACCAAGAATAAAAATATCAAATAGATCACTTCAAGATTTCTAGACAAGGCAACGACAGAATAACAAGCAGCTTTTTTTTGTCAAATCTAGTGCTACCTAAAGGAAGATACAGATGGCTGAGTAAATTCTAGCTTACAGCTCGTATATTTGACCGGAATGAAGCAGCAGGACCAGACCGTAGAAATGATCTGTAGAAGGCATATTGAGGCTGATCAACTTCTAGGGCATCTAGGCTTTTCTCTGCATTCAGAGAGAAAAGACAAATGAGTCTCACAGATTGCTCAATCTCAGGGCAATAATGTGCCTGAAAAATATATGGAATACACTTGTTTAGTTGTAGTTCCTTTCAAAAGAAATTCCAACTTCAAATCTCCAGGAGAAAGTTAAACAACCACATCCCGACCACATCAACAACATTATGTATATCAAAACGCATATTAGAAATTAAGCTGGAAAGAAAGAGTAACTCACCTATGTCTTTAATTTGCAACTGAGTCAGTATAACTGCAGGCACATAGGTCTCCAAAGGTTCAAGCTTTTTCCTGATTGACATACACTATCAAGTGGTGATACGAATCAACATTCAATCCCAGCTTATATATTCACAACACAACGAAAAGCAGTATGGATAAAAGCATCAATATAAGTAGATAAAGGATCCCAGTATTCCAAGTAGACATTATAGATATCAAAGTTCGGCTAAGATTCAGGAGGAATTGCACATTATCAAGTAGTTAATTCATATCCAGGGAGGAAAGGAATAATATCATCAATCTCAAACACCTATAACTAAAAATTAAGCTTCCCCCTTTGTGGGGTTTTTTTTAAAAAATATTTAAAACAATAATCACATAGAAGATATGATTAGAGGGTGGGAAAAAAAAAAAAAATCTCACACCTAACAAAACGCTTCCTGAAGAACAAAACAGCTTACTAAATCAACGAACAACCAAGCAGTATGCCCCTTTTAATCATTAAATGTTTTTGAATCCCTCCATTACATGTTTCCTATGAAACACAAATCAGGGTATTAGGCAATAAAATTTGAATGTAATTTGGCACGAGATTACTTACGAGTCGTATTGCAAATCAACGAAGTAAAACACGTGTTTGTAAATGGAGATAAATCGTCTAATACATTCATGTGGTGCATTGTCTGTCAAATCACACACGAAACCCAAATTTACCCGAATCCCAATCCATAGCCTACCAAATTGACTACCCAATGGCCAATGCAAGTTTGATCATTTCCACCCCTTTGGCACTCCGCACTCCATCAAAACAAATTACAGACTCGGAATAAACAAAACCAACAACCACCCAAGAGAAACAATGGTAGATTGCCCTAATTTCAATTTTCAACATGATTGGTAAAACAGCAACTTTCAATTTTGTCAGGTATCCAAAAATAATACTTGTATCTACATTCCTTCATCCACATTACACAGTTCAAAAAGGCAGACAAATTACTACTAAATAAAGCTAATCCACAAATTTTCATAATCATTTGGAGAAAAATAATTTAAAAAATCACAAAACACTATATTTTGCACTGTACTATAATGAACCCCAGCAGCCCAGCTCCGATTTAGTTGTCACATAACTAGTTCAAATTACACAAACACTATCAAGGCGACTATTAATTTCAAACGGATTGAGGCAAACTAACCACGAAACAGTAAATATAAACTCAAACAAAGATAAGATTACAAAAATTCTTACTTTTTCACGTATCTATCAAAGAGACCGCCTGCAATTGAATCTGCAAAATGGGGAAATGAAAATTTTGTTTAAATTTCATATATTGATTAAATCAAACTTAAAATTAAATTAAAAAAGTTAAGAGTGAAAGAGATGACGTCACGTACTAGGAGGAAGAGATGAGAGAGAGATGAAAAGAAAGAGAGATATGGAGACCATTCGTCTGCTTTCCTTCGAGTTTTGGGGGGGTAATGCGCACCTTGGCGCACGTTTGGTTTGATTGAATGGGATTGAATTCGAGAAGCTACGGTTGATGCTAACGTGCGCTGTGGTGGCAGTTGCCGCCATTGTTGCAGATGGTGGTGGATCCTTTTACGAGCTAGCCCTGGAAGATGATGCTATTCGTGGTGAATGGTGACTAAAGAGGGGATATGAGTATGACTTACATGATAACCCGACTTGAACCGGCAATGACCGATGACTTGATTACATATTTGTAGTCAAATGTTTTGATGAAACTATTTATTAACCGAAAACACGATTTGGCCTAAATTTATAAGACTTGAGTTCAAGCCTAAACCTGATCTAATATCAGCTGAAGGTGAGCTAAACTCAATCTAGCACAATGACCTAGTTAGCACTTGAAATCAAGTTATAACCGGTGAGAAAACATATATTGGTTGGCGACCTAATTGAAAGTTAAGACTCCTGGATTTAGATTAACACAAAATAAGATTTTAATTCGACCTAATAATACCCAACCTAAAACAAGTAGAACTAGATTTAATTCATATTTAATTTGTGTTACAATGATGAATTAGTAAAATTGTTTTATCATTTTATAGGCCTCAATCATGGTTTAGCCATACATAACATTTTGTTCATATAATGGACCTCTTAATCAACAATATTAATAATGCACACTTGAATTATATAAGTTGACTTAAGCTAACTTAACTAGATTTTATTGATCAAATCCAAACTTGATCCGTCCAAGAATGACCTAACATGATGTGCACCATCAAAATTAAACAAACCAATTTTGCTTGCCCTAACACCCCCCCCCCCACCACCACCACCACCAAAAAAAAAAAAAAAAAAAAAAAAAAAAAAAAAAAAAAAAACCAAACACCACACAATCCAAACCCAAACTAAACTTAGACAAAATTGGCTCAAAACAGTATGAACCTAACTTGCACTTAAAAGGTTAAGCAACTAGACATGGTCTAAATAGCATTTGACTCTACACAATTTTAAACCCGATAAGGAGACTAAAATGACCCAACATGTCAATTTGAATCAATCCGATAACTGACATGACCATAAGGTCCATAACTGAACCCGACCCAACTATTTCAATTGACAACACTACTTAATAATGTAATTACTAACCCAAATATTACAAAGTACGTGTTAATTAAGGGGTAGGATAGTAATTGAACTAGGGGATAAGTTAGTAATTTTTTTATTTTTTATTTATTTATTATTGATGAGTTAGCCACAAAATTAGCCTATAAGATCACTATGTATATTAATCTGATCTAGGGGTCACTTATAAATTTGCAATGCCACTACCTTTTTAAAAACGGAAGGTTTTCCTATAGAATTTTCCTATTCCATCCCCTACTCCATCCAAACTTATTTATTCTATCTAATTTAAAATAAAGGAAAATTTTTAAATTACCACCAAAAAATGTAACCATTTTTGAACTAACCACCTAAAAAAAATTATTTTAAATTACCACCCCTTAAATCAAATAAATGCTCATATTACCACCCATTTTGAAAATCCGATGAGATTTTGACCTGTGGGCCCTACGTAACGGCTAAAAACGGTTATTTTCAGCTTTCTAATTGTTTTCCTCCCCGATTTTTCCTATAAAGCTCTTCCCCTAATTCAATTTTCAATCCTACCTGCAATTTATCCACAAAATTGAGCTCGTTTGTAATTGCAACCACATCTACAACAATGAATGAACTTCAATTTGCATAAGTTAATCTCACATTTCTGTAAAAATTAGGGTTCTTGTGACATTGTAATTGGGGGAATTTGTGGGCTTAATTAATTAGGGAGATAGCGAAGAGAGATGTTGCCGCTAACGACGGAGGCACAAAAGATGGCGGAAAGAGCGGCGATCTTCGCAAATTGAACACGAGATTGAACAGTTTGCATCGGAACAACCTTCAACCAAACAATGGCGATGTAACTGAAGAGAGAACAAGCTGTCATACGACATATTGTAAGGAAAATTGGGTATTTGAATCCATAATTGCTCAACAAAATACTTGTTTAATAGGATTACGCTGATGTTTGAGGAGTACCAAAAGGTAATTAATCCGATTGTGAAGAGTTTCCACTGGGTTTCATTTCAATCGGATTTGAATGGATTGAATCGATTTGATTTGATGTGGTGAGAAATTTCTAATTTGTATCACTAGTAGAAAAATAAGTGATGGGAAGCCCCAAAAGGCAAGCGGTTTTAAAAATCCGCTTGCCATTCACCCTTTTTTTTTTAAACCTGTAATATGAAATGGCAAGCGGTTTTGGCGCGAACCGCTTGCCAATATATATAATGACAAGCGGTTTGGGGTTGAATCGCTTGCCATTAGATATATTGGCAAGCGGTTCAACCCCAAACCGCTTGCCAATTAAAAAAAAAAACCTAAAACGCGCTTATCCCTCCTCTTTTATTTCTCTTCTCCTCTTTCCTTACCCCGACTCTCTCTCTCTCCTCTTTCATTTCGGTTGCTCTCTCTCTCTCCTCTTTCATTTCGCCTCTTTCTTCTTTCATTTTCTACTCTCGTTTTCCCTCTCTCTCCTCTTCCCTCTAATTCGCCCTTTCTACTTTCATTTTCTCTTTTCTTTGTTCTTTCTCATCTCATCAAATTTGAACATAACTGGGTTTTTTCGAGCTAATTCGAGGATAATTTCAACCAAATTTCGAACAATTTCGAGCAAATTCGTGCATGCATGTGGATGTATAAGTTTTTTAGGTCAAATTCGACCATGAAAACTCTAGATCTAGAGTTTTTATGGTCGAAATTGACCTTTAAAACCATAATTTGAAGCCAAAATCGGGTTAGATCGATGGTTTTTTTAATTTTTATTTCGATTTTAGTTTTATTTTTGATTTTAATTTGATTTGGGTTTGGGTCGTGGGTGGAGGTCCTGGTGGGTGGTGGTCGTAGGTGGAGGTCGTGGTGGGTGGGGGTCTGGTTTGGGTTAGGGTCGTGGGTGGGTGGTGGTCGTGGTGGGTAGGGGTCTAGTTTGAGTTTTTAGCTTTAAAATTTTGTTGTTTATAATTTAAGATCTGATTTTTATTTTTTTTTACACAAAAGATCTGAAATTAAGTTACTTATTGTTGTTTATTTTTTCAATTTATTGTTTGGCAGATACGGTTAATCGATAGGGTGGTGGTGGTGATACGGGTTAAGGTGGTTGGTGGTGGCGGCTGGTGGTGCGTGCGGCTGAAGGTGCGCGCGGCTGGTGGTACGTATGTGCACGGCTGGTGAACAAGAGCAGCATCAGTTGTAATATGCTTGAATTATTTTTTTTTATTATGAAAATGTAATATTAGAACAATTAATTAATAAAAATATTAATGTTTTTGCATATATTATTATGTTTGTGTTTCAATTTAATTGGAAAAACTAAAAAAAAATAAAAAATTTATTTTTTATACCCATAATGGGCAGCGGTCAGGCGCCAAAACCGCTGCCCTTTCACTACAAATGGCAAGCGGTTCAGAACCGCTTGCCATTTAAAAGGCTAATGGCAATCCCCCCAATGGCATGCGGTTTAGAACCGCTTCCCATTAGGGGGTTTGAACCGCTTCCCATCACGTTTATTCTACTAGTGTATGGGTGTTTGATTTGGTGGTATTAAAAATTAGGGTTTTTTGATTGATTTGGGCAAGATGAGAAATGTGAAGAAGAGAGAAGAAAGGGAAAGAAATTTGGGTTGGAGGAGAGAGAAATAAGGTGGGAAAAGGGAGCTTTAATGGCGGAAGAGGTGGAGTAGGAGCCAGGAGGAGAATGAAGATGATGAAGAGAAGAGAGGAGAAATAAGAAGGAAAATAACTAAAGTGGGGCCCACTAGTCAGAAACCCATCGGATTTTCAAAATGGGTGGTAATCTGAGCAATTATTTATTTTAAGGGGTGGTAATTTAAAATAATTTTTTTTTTGGGTGGTTAGTTCGAAAATGGTTATATTTTTGGGTGGTAATTTAAAAAAATTCCTAAAATAAATGAAAAATGTAGCCTAAGATTTAAATAAAATGATACACAAATCGCTGCAATTAATCACCACGATATTGCTAATACAAGTAGCGTTTAAAGACAAAGAGAATTCCCTTGTAAGTTGGAGGGAAATAAGGGATCCAACTTGTTTGGGGTGAGAATCGAACCCTTCTCATAGAGGTGTAAGCACTAAGTAGAGCCTCCAAGCTCCAACCACTAGACCAACTAGATTTTCGCTTACCCTTTTTTTTTCAACCGCTTACCCTTTATTATTGCCCCGTGATAGACATAAAACACATACTTCCTCCGTTCTTTTTTACTTGATCCGCTTTGACTTTTACACTATTCACCACCTCTCTTTTGACCGTCTTTTGTGAATGATAGGTAAGGAAAAATATATTCATATGATATCTTCTTTAATTCGTCTCAATAAGTACGTACTATCGTAATATACAACTTTTATAATTTTCACTTATGAAGAATTAAACTTATTGATCGCTAAAGTTTTGCATTGGCAAGCGTGATAAAAGAAACAGGTCAAGTAAAAAAGAACAGAAGAAGTAAAACGAGTGCTTTCCCTTAATATTGTTGGGAAGAATGACAATTCCATACATACTACTAGAGGTGTCAATTCGGATAACTGGATGGAGTTTGGGTCGGGTCTATTCGGGTCAGGTCTGTTCGGGTCGGATATGTTCGGATCAAAATTATCCTTTTAACTCGGATCGGGTCAAATTCGGGTCATGGTCTATCGAGTCCGGGTCGGATACGGGTCGGGTCAACTTCAGATCAATTCACTTTCGGTTCGGATATATTTGGATCGGGTTTAAAACGGGTTTAGCCGGGTAACTTTGGGTCAGATGAATTTGGGTCGGGTTGATTTCGGTTTGGATGATTTCGGTCCGATCAAGTTCGGTTCGGTCAATTTCGATTCAATTCCTTTTTGTGTTTGGCTGGATTTTGGTCGAGCTGACCAAATTCATATCCAAATAAGGTTATTTTTAAACTAAAGATATTGCTTAGTTTTTACCTTAATATTGGGTCAATATGATTATTAATTACGAAGCACAAAGTTTTAGTTTTCTCATTTGATCAAGTTATGTGTAATTTTTATCTTTGAGGAAAATTGAGATTGAATAATTATCGATATAACAGAATGGGAGGAAATTCATTAAAAATGACAATAGGCTTTAGGCAGCATTTAACTAGAGCTTTACAAGCAAATCAATTAACTCCCGCTTAATGTTTAGGTTTATTAGATCTTGTGGCATTTATTAAAGCTTAGAAAGTAAATTAATATAATTGATATGTACATGAAGTAAACTTAAGACTCCAGATTATTTCTTTGTAGTAAAAAAGTTAACTTATTAATAATTAGTAAATATATAGTATAAGAACTTGAATAAAAAAGTAAATAATTAATTATGATCGGGTTAAATTCAGATTGGGTAAAAATCAAATCGAGTTAAAATCGGATCGGGTTAATATCAGTTCGGGTCAAAACAGATCGGATTAAATCGGTTATTTTTCGGGTCAATTTCGGATCGGGTTAAGCTCGGGTCGGGTCAAATCGATTCGGGTTGAGTTCAGGTCGGATCAAATCGGTGTCGGGTTAAGTTCAGATCGGGTCAAGTTCAGATTCGGGTTGAGTTCAGTTCGGTTACAGATCGGGTTTGGGTCTTGAATTTCTCGGATCAAATCGGATCGATTACAATTCGAAACGGATAATTTTTTTCAGGTCGGTTCGGTTTTGACACCTCTATATACTACTACTTTTTTTTAATATTCCCAAATTACTGTCCATGTCAGCAATTTAATGAATTTAATTTTTGTTTTCTATTTTATAGCAAAACCGCTATCTAAGATGGCGGTTTAAGCATGAACACCGCTACATCAATTAGCGGTTCTACTCATTAGTCACTATCAAAATTCCATCCATATCTCTCTACTCTCTTATTCTCAAACTAATCACTTTTTTTTCGATAGAAACAAAGTCCCAAATTCTCCATTGCCCATTATCCATTCTACCTCAGTCAAATTCCAGATCTCATCTCTCTATTTCTCTCATTAATTTTTCAAAATTTTCATTCTCAAATTAAATTGGTCAGGAGATATCTCGATTAAGTTTGAGAACTTGATATTTATTTAATTCAATTGGTTCTGGGTAGTTTCATGAAATTATCTTGCAATTTTCTTAATCCTAATTTTTTTTCATCATTATATACGTCTATACGAAGTATAGTGTGGAGTTTGCGCCGCTACCTTTGCCGACTTCACCACCGGAATCACTGCCTTCGTCATCACATATAGGTGCAGCAGCCAGCAAGGTTCATGAAACTTGTCATTTTAATAATTATGTAGTTTAGATCTAACTATGAGATTGTATTAGTTTTCTTCTTTCAATTATGATTATCTATATTATATATATATACTAGGTTAGGTCCCGTGCCATGCACGGTTATTTTTAATAATTGTTTCATATTAATACTACATTTAGTTATAAAATAAAAATTTGTTTAAAATATTATGCTTAATTTATGAAAGAGCCTATTAGCTAGTATATTTTCTTTAAAACTACTTTTGCCTACACATACCTCTATGTGCACCCGGGGGTATGTAAAAGGTGATAATTAGCCATTGCCCATTGGCAAGACATGATTTTAAAAATATGCATTTGTTAATATGCATATATTTTTGTATATATTTGATTTCACTAAATGAATTTATTAAAACGTAGGACATTAAAAATTATGTTAATAATTTTTTTTTCTTTTCTTTTTTGCTTAAATTTAAAGTTGTTATTTTTTTTTGGAAGGATAAATCAAATCTTTTATTTTAAGTAATTTTTTAATATTTGATATTCAAATTACTTTTTTGGAGCTTTTAATATATAATTAAATTAAAATAAAAATAAAAATAGAATCCTTCTAGTAATATTTGACACAAATTCTATAAAAAAAATCTATTTTTTTATATAGTTGATAATGTATTATGGAAATATACATCAAATCTTTTAATTGTGTATAAATTTGTTATCTTTTTTTTATGTATTGTATAAGATTTGTTTCCAAAATATTTTTTTAATAAAAAAAAAAACTAAGGACACACCAGAAAAATGACATGTGTCATTGCTGGTGTGTCTTTTAGTATATAGTTATTGATTGATTGATATTCTTCATTGTAATATTTTCCATATTAATGAAACATATGACAATTTCTCTATCTTATTCTTCCCCTTCTCTCTCTAAATTCAGATTACTCTGATTTGTTTTTTTTTTGAACGGAAGGTGTATAATTAATTTTATGATGAATTCTTGCCTGAATTATTGTAAAATGTTTACAGAGATTTTTTATTTATTTTTTACATAAAATGAAAACCGCCACTTGAATGGGCGGTTTTCCGCATTTGTAAACCGCTGAGGGTTCGTTTGACATTACTGTGGTTTTCTGTTTTTTTGGTTTTTTGTATTTTAAAAATATATGATATATGCCCTATATGAATTAAAAATTATTTAAACTTATTAAAATCATGATAATTTTGAAAACTGACAACAGAAAAATGAAAACACTATTTTCTTGTTTCATATTTTTACAGGAAATTGAAAACCAAAACTGATGCCAAACAAGCACTCAAGTGACGGTTTTGTGGTATATATTAAAAAATAAAAATAAATTAACTTGTTAAATGATGACGTGGACAGTAAATTGAGAAATTGTAAAAGTTTAGCTGTATTTAGGGAATTGGAAGTAATTGGAGCATTATCGAAGGAATATGACTCAAATTGTCACGAAAAATAATTTCCTCACAAAAAAATAAAAAAATAAAAAAAAAAATGTTATGAAAAAGTACATAGTCCAACCGATTTAATATGAAGAGTCGATTTTACAACTCATACTATGTCGGATTGTCGTTGTCGGTGTCAGTGTCAGAAACACAACCCCTTCTTATCCACTTCCCCTGCTTCTGAAAACCCAACTCACAACCTACAATGGTGAAGCAGAGTATTCTATGGCTTACTCTTACTTCTCTTTTCTTGTTCTCAGCTTCTGCTCTTGATACCCAAAGTAAGTTCTCTTCCCAATGTTCATCCCATTATAAATTTCTCATCTTTGAGTTATAAAAAATGCTTTCTTCTTAGTTTTTCACTAGCTGATCTTTTCTAATCTCTGCTATTTGTATATTGAATCTGGGATCTATTTATTTATTTTTCTTGTATTTGTTTGTTTAATTTATTTGATTTACTGTTAGACTGTGGATATTTTTTAGCTGGGTTAGAAGTATGGCTGAGATCCTTAATGAACTTATACTGTTTTATTAAATTTCATTATTTTGATGAAATGGGTATGTTGTTAAATGCTAATTTCCTTTCTATAAATAAAAAATGAATTATAAAAAAAAAAAAAAGCTCTAAACTTTAGTATTAATCCGTGCTACAGTACAATAATAATTAGTACAGATAATTAAGAAAAATGTTGTGCAAGATTTTGAAGTTTAAAGTCTCAATATCCCTTCATGATAGCATATGCTGTCAAAGTTGGAAAATTTTGGGTAAATTTGTCAAGGTTATAAGTTTAATTTAAGAAATTTTTAGTTTTAGTGGCTTATTACAAGTTGCTTTACAAATGAAGTAATTGCAATTTGCAAATAAAAGTTGAATTTTTTTAGATGGCTTTTCTAGTATACATGTAATTGTAAGGGCATCGTTTGCATTTGCCAATGTAGACAGTAGATTAATCATGTTTTCAACATTGAACATAAGGATTGGAGGATTGTGTGGCTTATGGCCTTGAACTGAGTTTAGGGTTTGGAATTATGAATAATGTCTTAGTAATTTCAAGCTATTGTTGGATTGAAGGCGAAAATTGAAAGAAATCACTTGCGAGCATTGAAAAAGGTTTTTTTCATTAATGAGAATTGAGGGCTTCAGTGCAAAGAAAAAACTCTAGTGACAGTGACACCGGTAGGCATTAAGGACCTGAATAATCCTCTTCGAAAGTAAGGCTGGTATTAGAGAGAGGCTCCGACTTGAACCAAGAGCTAGTTATCCTAGATAGGCAACTATAATCGTTCCAATTTCCTTTTGACATTCAAGAAAAATGACCGACTTTCTGAAAGATCAAAATGATTGACGTCCTCCCTTTCCAAAACAAACCTTTTGTTACTGATACAACCTTAATGTTTGAGCCGTTATCATTGTAGATTCGATTCTAGGATTATGTTTTACTTCTAAGTTCTAGTAATATCTGTGTACTCTAAAATCTATCCTTTTCAACAAGAAAAATAGGAGCAATAGATATGCACATCTTCCTATGGATTATGTACTCTATCTCTTTAGTTTATACAAGCATTTCTATTTCCAGAAGTCTTCATATTATGCAGTTGAATTTCGGTGTTTCCACTTTGTACTACTTAAATTCTTAAACAAACTATTAACAGGTAAAGTGACAAAAAATCCAGCTGACGAGCTTGTACAAATGCTGAATGATAATAGAACTGCACACCATTTATCAGCCCTCTATAGCAATCCTGGGTTGGCATGCATCGCTTTGCAATACATTAAAGCTTATGATGGAGATTGTGGCGACGTAGGTGGACCTAAAGCCAAGAAGCCTGAGGATTCTGCTTTTGCAGAAACATTTGCTCCCAATTGCAACGTGGAGCCTGCATCCCTGACTCAAATTACGGGGCGCTTCCTGGGCTGCGAGTCTAAATATCTTAAGCCTGAAAAAGCATTCTCAGAGATACTAATAAAGGAAAGCAAAAGCCTGAACATTCTCTACAGTAAGAACCACACTGAAGTTGGGGCTGCAGTAAGTGGTTCCTATGGTGGGGGGCCATTTTTCTATTGCGTGCTCTTTAGCAATGGTAAATCTAACAGTAGCTTTGTTCTTGAGAACGGTGAGGCTAAAGTAAGTAGACCGGGTTGTTTCAGTGGTGCCAATGATGAATGTAACAGTGCTGAAGGTAGGTTTCAGGCTTACCATTTGTTGAACTCTATTCTAGGAGTTTTGGCTGTTATTGGATTTGCTGTCGGCATATGATAGTAATTCTTTTGACGTTTGTCCATTACACTGATTGGTTTAAGTTGGGGAATTTATTTATTTATTTTTTTTGGGGGGGGGGGGTGGAGGGTGAGAGATTGTACTGTCAATTGATCTGAGTATGTTACAAATCACGAAGACAAGAGAACGTAAGAATTGCATATTATGATTTGAGAAACCCTGATCAATCTCTATCTTCTCCCTGTGCCTTGTCTTTGGCAAAATTCATTATTTACTACGTTAAACTGTAACGATTACTCTAAGGTTCAATCAGTTAAATATATCCGTCCTGTTTTTGGCATTTTTTTTCCAAGGAGCAAGAACATCTAAGGCGTCACCTGGAATGCTATTTTAATGGCTATGTGGTTGTCTGATTAGTATTTTTATTTGGAAAGAAAAGCGGTTTTGCATACAATAGCTTTGGGTGTGAAACCATAAGAATCAAGAACACCATCCCATCAAAATAAAAAATATATATATAAAAAAAACATGAATTGCTGTTGCAGCACAAAATGCCACAATCCCTTCCTGAAGCACTAAAGAGCTAGCTGAAATACTTTGAGCTCCTTGAACTAGTATGTACATAGAAAAATAAAAATCTTAATTAACTAACCCTACTCGCCTTCGTCGGGAGGGAGTTAGTAAGATAATAAGATACACACAAGTTATAGTATTAGAGTAAGCCCAGATAAAAGAAACATAAGAACTCACTGAATCATGCTGCCCTTGAATAACATACGATGACTAATAACATTTGAACAAATATGAAGCTGATAACTACATTAGAAAAGAAAAGAAAAAAAAAAAGAATCTGCTTTTACTAGGAAGCAATTTCATGACTTGTACTTCAAAACTAGAAGAAGAATGGTAAGGATGAGTATTATTCCACCCGAAGAGCCCCCAACTCTGTGAATCCAGTAAGGATCGAACCTGTTCTGATCTAGGTAGCAGGAGACAGATATGGCCAAAATCACAACCAGGAGCAGGAGAGGCAGGAGAAACGCCAAGTTGAATGTTTCTTCTTCTTCTTCTAGTTCACTCTCGGTTCTTCGATCGATATATAGAGGAGAGATCACAGCCACTATGGTGAAGATGATAGCTAGAAGTCTCTCATATGAAGAAGACCTGCTGCTTCTGCTTACAGCAGTTGTAGTCTCCATATTCAGAAATGCTAGTGTATTTTTATTCTTCTGTGAAAGCCACCCCTCAAAGTTGGGAATATATGCTCATGTTGTGCTACCTTAATAGTGGGCATCAGGAAATAGCTATCTTATTGCTTAAAGCTTAAAACTCCTTTACAAAAGGAAAGGGTAGAATATTTGTGCAATTCTAATGAAATTATATATTATAATTTAGTATATACATGGTAAGATTTGGCACCTGACTATACCAGGCCCATCTCGACTCTCGACCGTGAAACAAGAGTACAGCCAGGCCCAACACCATAGGCCACGGCCTACGGGCCTCCTCTGCTGTCCCCATCAGATAAAGAGGACACAGACTTGAGTCTACATAGCTTTTTCACTGGAAGAACCCTTCCAGAGTATTGTATTCTTTAGAGCTTATTCAAGAAGATTGAATTAACAGTCAGCAGGTTTGACACAGTTTTCAAATATTCATGGCTTTAGATTGGAATCAGATTCCTGCCTGCTCTATCTAGCACTTTCACAGACCACTGTTTAGTGCATATAGGTCTAATACTGTTACCAGAGCACATACCATAGCTAGCTCAGTCAATATGTTGATAGAAGAATGTTACAAAAACAGTTTGAGAGAAATTGAAATTACAGGTAAAATTACTGACTATAAAAATATCTAGTGCGCATAATATACAGAAAAAACTAGTACGGAATTTAATCTTGCAAAACGCAAAACTAAATTTAAAATTCCACCAAATGCCGCAAAATTACAACCAAAGAGCTTCTCATCAAGCAGAACTCTACAGATGCTTGCCATAAGTACCATCTTAGTAGATATAAGTGGCTGTGAAAAATTGTACCATGGATTAATTGGGACGATCAGAAGGACTCAAACTCTTACTCTGAATTCTTCTCTGCCACTTCTTCTGTGAGGCGGTAAGATCTGATAACCCTGGCTGGTTAGAACCTTCTTGAGAACCCATGGCTGGTGGAAGTTCAGCAGGAAGTGCAGCAGCTGCACTTGTAAAGGCATTCAGAACAAGGAATGCTAATATGGGCGACAAATCCAAGGTTCCTCCGATTGGTGGGATAAGTCCACGAAATATGTTCAAGTATGGGTCACACAGGGTGCTGAGAATCAAGAATTAGTGGTTAATTAATACAAGGTGTTTGCTAAGAGAACTGAAAAAAAAAAAGAAGTAAATATATCGAAATCATATTACACATATCATAGCAGGCATACCTGAGGGGACTAACAATTTGGGGGGGAGCACTTGGGAACCATGTCAAAACAAGCCTGACAACTAACAATGTATTGTAGATATTCAGAAAGTTCGAAATGCCATTTGCAACCACTAATCCTGCAACTGAGTCACCAGGTAAAACAGCGGCAAAGTTGTGACTTGACAGAGAATTTAGATTCCCATGGCTTCTCCAGTGAACCTGAAACAAAGAGTGCAGTTTATCATTTTGAATAAAGGGTAAATCTTAGGCCTACAAGTTTCAAACCCAACGCCTCAAAACTCCCAAATTTTCATGAAACTCCCAAATTTTTACCAAATCCTTAACCTATGTTATGTGTGATGCCAGATATCCAATTCCCTCTCCTCCCTTACCTTCTTCAAGACCATTCAAAGTTAATGAAAAGCTGCACCTTTAGAGCTGCATAGAAATTACACCAATAAGGTTGCTCTTTTTACCCCATGTAACGAACAGCTTTGAAAGAAGAGGATGTAACAATTTATTTCAAGAATATGACCTTACACTTCAGAGTCCAATTAGCATAGCCAGAACACGAAAACAAGAAGTGGAGGGGCATTAAACAGAAAGGAAACTGTCTGCATTGGCCAATCACTGCTTCTTTCTTTGTAACTGTGCCTTGAATGACTCCTGAAGGTCAAGGAGATTCGGTTCATGCAGCCAACTCCATCATTTTGGGAAAAAGGCTTTGGTTTTGTTGTTTTTGTGATAGACAATCAACACAACAACAATGACAACTGCATCTATATTGTATCTTCTTGTTGAAGGGGGTCAGAAATAGAAAAAGGCTGAAAGCATAGCTTCCCATAGCAGTTCCGGTTTCCTTTCCCCGAGGACTTTTTACATGAAACGGATTAAACTTGCGAACTTATTTGATTTTCCTATACGTCACCATGATCTAATAGACTAATAGAGAATATTTAAAGTGAGTATGATTTTTGTTCAATTCACTTCCAGGAATACTACTACAATCAAAAGAGTATTAATGTATTATTTTGATTCTATTAGAATTCAAGTTTTGATAATACACCCAGCTTATTACTTTTTTTCTCAGATATTCTTTCAGATTATTGCACCATAGTTGTACCTTGTACGACTAGTACCCTTGTCACTGTTGGAAGAAACACTATGATGCTAGTTTTAATTTTTTATATAGTAGACACAAGGGGGTGTTACTCTTATTCATAAGAAGTGCTAAGGACAAAAGCCTTATGCCCTAGAGCTATCACGAAGCAAATTATCTACCGGTATAAGAAGCCAAGAACTATATAAAAAAGAAACCAAAGGAGCGTCAGCGTCACCCATATCAGGACTAAAAGTTCATGCCTTCAAGCTATGAAGTAAAATATATAGACAGGATTATAATGAAAAGGAAAAAAAAAATCAAAATCAATCAAAGGATCCTACTTAAGTCCAGCAGTAAAAGCATAATTTAAGGAAGCTTCCAAAGTTAATTCCTCAAAAATCTGTTTGGTTTCTTAGTCTCCAAATGCACCACCTAATTGCCAACTAAATCATCTTCCACACTTCACCAAGGAATGCAATAATTCAGCACTTTTTTCCTTCAACCTTTACTAAAATCAGGATGGAGCATAAGTTTGCATAAACCGATGAAAAGCGCATTAGCACGCTGAAGAAACATAAAATTTTTGTTCACATAAATTCATTTTCATTCTCTTCAAGGAAGTCGGGAGTGTCCTGAGGGAGGAGCCCTCAATCCCATGACATTGAACCACTTGACCAATCGTTCTCAAAATTTCGCCAACAAACTCTTTATCCTAGGTTCCCAACGATTGCCAATTGCTTCACTAATACATGAACATTTCAAATCTTATTTACCTCTATCAAAGATTCTTCAAACACATTGTACCCAACTAACTAACAGAAATACTTCGTATATTTTAAGGCAATTCAAAGACATTTTCCACAAGAATCCACTCGGGAAAATCTAAACTTTGCACTCACCTACAGTTTACACTAAATCTGCTAAACACACAATTGTTAGCCACTTAAGGAGAAATTAAAAATACGAGCCGAGCCACAGTACATGAAGCATTGTTAACTGAAAACAACAGATTTTATATAAATGTTCGGTTTTTTGTGTATATAAATTCATTCATTAACAATGTTCCTCAAAAAAAAAATAGACTATGAATCCAATTCAGGAAAAACAAAATAAACCCACCAGGGAATAACATTCAATTAATCAATATGAATAGAATAATCAATCAAAACCAAACAAAAATTGCAGAAAATTAATCATAATTAACATACATACAATCTAAAATAAAAATTAGAAACAGCATTGATTTTACCTGAGAGAAATTCTGGAGATGGGAAGAGAATTTGAGGAGATTATTGAAAAGGGGGTTCTGGGAAGCAGAAAAGTGAAGAAATTGGAGGAATTTATCGGCATTTGAAGCGATTGTTTTGTGGAAATTGTGAAGAATTTCAACTGGAGAAAATGCAAGAACTGCATTTGAAGTGGGTTTGAAGAAGAATTGTTGAGGACTGAAAGATGGTGAGATAATTGGGAAAATTGACAATGGATTGGGTAACTCACATTTGGTGATCTTCTCTGCTGGATTTGAAGAAGCCATGTTGTTTGATTTTGAGTCACACTCTCTTCCCTCACTTGGTCACTCCTTGTTTAAGACATGCGGAGGTGGGTGATGATAAACGGATAGGCTTCGGCCTCGATAATAGACACACTCGGGTGTATATAAAAACTAAAAAGTGTGGATAAATATAAAAATGGTATACAAATTTATATTACTGGTATAATTTAACCGGTATTTTTTACAATACTTCACCTATATCCTTCAAAACATAAATACTCTAATCCTATATTTTTTCTCCAATACCAATGAATATTTAATTTTGTATTGTTTTCTTTTGCGAATAACATATCTCATGCATTAACACAGGTACATTATATTTCATAGAAATTTTGTGAGAAAAACACTTTGTAATTGGTTACTCCATATATGATAAAACAACACCTTTCTAAAAAAAAAGTGTGGTGCTTTGTACATAGGAATTTTTTTAGTTTTTGCCTGGATTTTAGCCATTGACGGTTATTTTTCGATATTGACTATCGTGTGTTAAACACATGCTTTCATTGAAAATCTCTACTTTCTCCCTTTCTTCGTCTCAACATCTATTTCAAACATCATACTACCATTCCATTGACATTCAAGTATTCAACCAACACTTCATCATATTGAACTCGATAGATGAATCATGGGAGGCTATATGTGTCCTCTAATCAGATAAAGAATATAAATTCAATCCATCCCAAACCAGATTAGTAATTTGGATCGAAATATCATATTGGATTTAAATATTTTCAAAATTCTGATTTTCAAACCAAATTAGATTTAATAGATTTGGATCCAAATAAATCAAACAAGCCACAATTCTAGAATCTTAAAATTGTTATAAACTACAATACTTGAATAATAAGAGTATGATCTCTTCATTTCAATTCAGTTCGGTTCAATTCAGTTCACTTCAGATCCTAATTTTCTTATCTCATAACAGTTTAGTTCAGTTCAGCTTATTTCAGTAAATCAGAACAGACTCTAATACATGAAATAAAACACACAAAGCTAACTCAACTAAAATTGTGTTGATGTAGTTGAGACTTGTGCAATGGATTGTTGGTGGTGGTTTGGTGGTAAAAAGGGAGGACTGGTGGTGGAATGGTTGTCGACATGGCATGATTTTGGATGACGAACACGATAAGTAGGTTTACTATCGTTTGAAATTATTGTAAATCTAAACTAGTAGAATGTTGTTGATTTATTTTTCCAAAATGAGCCCGCCTTTCTGAGGCAAAGGGTACTTTTTAAGTCAAATAATCCGGGTTTTGAACCAATCATACCTATATAACTATTTTTAAGAAACTAGTTGTTGGCTCGGGTGATGCCCCAATACATCATAATTTTATAAGTTTGATCAAAATTAATTAAAAGAGTTACTATTAAACAATATTAATAAGTGCATGAATATAATAATCTATATTATCTTTCATTTATATATACTTATATAAGATATGTCTCATTTAAATATGGAGGTTATACATATGAAAAGTTTTTTTAAGTAAACTAGCCTTCTGGCCCGTGCAATGCACGGGTTATTCATATAAAATTGTATTGAGAAATAAGTGAGGAAATATCAGTAACTTATTATAGGGTATAATATGTAATCGGAAAAATTGTATTGAGAGATAAGTGAGGACATATTAGTAAGTCATTATAGGGTATAATATGTAATCGGAAACATGATTAAAGAAATTAAAATTGTGGAACTTTAATCGAAAAAGAGGCTTAAATAAAAGGTGGAAGGGCTAAAATTAAAGAGAGAGTAGGAAAAGGTTGAATTAAAGGGGAGAGATGAAGTGTGTGTATATGAAAGATGAAGTGTGTGTATATGGAAGATGAAGTATAAGTTTAATGAATGAATTAAAAAAAATGGTGTAATAAAAAATTAATAGTGTAAGATGATATGTGACACTATGGTTAGAGAAGTGTAATAGAATGGATGAGGGCATGTGTCTTTCTTATTTTCTTGGTTATAGTTTTTAAATACTAATAAAGTATAGAGTAGACATTATTATAGAGAAATAAAGTCACACCAATGATGAGTTTTTCAAGTAAATTAAACATTATTATAGAAAATTAAAGTCAAGCAAATGAAGAATTTTTCAAAGTGACTACATTACTACAAATATTCAATGTGGGAGAGAGAAGGGTAAACACACTTAGGATGACACATGCTATAAATGTGGCGGCAATTCATAAGTAAGGGTGACATATAACATTACCATGTTGTTCCCAGTAGTTTTAATAATATTATAGATTGATATTGTGCCTTTGTGATATTGTGCGTTTGTGTATGCTGCTACTTCCTTTGTAGTCCATAGTAAATTGAAAAATTGAGGATGGGTCAAAATTTAAAGGACGCACAAAGTAATTTACAACGTGCACGTACCACTCTTGTTAGTTGTTGAGTCAACTAGGTCGTTAACCCGTTATACTCGTTTTAGAATAAAATCATATCCTTATCTTAAAAATTTAAAAACATAATTACATAAACAACACCCCATTTTTCACATGCAGACAAAATAATCCAAAAACATGCAATGACTGTACAACACGTGTCAAACCCACCTTCTTCTTCGACCTCAAATATTAATTTCTTTTTTTTTTTAAAAAAACTAGCGCCTTAAATTTTCTCTCTCCTCCATTTCCAACATCTTATCTACCTCTACTCCCGCCATTGTCAACGCTCATCACTTTCTCTCTCCTCGAAGCTCCATCAATGGCGGCCAACCTACTCAAACTCTCACTATCTCTCACCACCTCTTTCCCCGCCGTAACCACCTCTCGCCGCCGATACATTCGCCGATCTCACTCCCCTATTCTCTCTCCTCTCTCGCACAATCCTTCTATCCAACGTCGCCGGAACCCTGATTTTGTCGTAGCAAAGGCTGTCGAGTTAAATTTTCCGACATCAAACTCAACTTCGTTGCCGGAAAATCAAGTTCCGGCGGAATCCTCGTTTCTACTCGATGTCGGCGGGATGATGTGCGGCGGTTGTGTAACTCGCGTGAAGAAATTGCTCGTATCTGACGATCGAGTGGATTCTGCGGTGGTGAATATGTTGACGGAAACTGCTGCGGTGAGGCTGAAATCGGAGGTTTCCGGTGGTGAATTTGTGGCGGAGGAGTTAGCGAAGAGGTTGGAAGAGTGTGGATTTGAGGCGAAGAAGAGAGTTCCTGGTAATGGAGTAGGAGAGAGAGTGAAGAAATGGAAGGAAATGGCGGCGAAAAAGGAGGAATTGGTTGAGAAGAGTAGAAATCGAGTGATTTTTGCTTGGACTTTAGTTGCTCTTTGTTGTGGTTCTCATACTAGTCATATCTTACATTCTCTTGGAATTCATGTTGCTCATGGTATATTTATTATACTTTCTAATTTCAGCTAATTTATTTGATTGTAATTTGAGTTTGATGTCTATAAATGCAACATTATGTTATTGAATAATTTGTGAATTTTATGATTTTAATTTTGTGTTTTGGTGATGCAGGAGAAATCTGGGATGTGCTGCATAATTCATATGTGAAGGGTGGTTTAGCTTTGGGAGCTTTGCTTGGACCGGGAAGAGGTTCGTGTTTTCGCCTTTCTATCATTTCAAATTTAGATTTCTTAGCTGATATTTAAATTTGATGAAAGAATATACAGGATGTAATGCATGTACTTGAGATATCATGAAGTTTGTTTCTCCATTGTAGAACTTTAAATTAGTGCTTTTTGCACAAATGGACTATTAGTTTATTAGATTATGGCATTATGTTTGAAATTCTTTGTAGTGTGTTCATTGCTTCACTCATTGAACTTAAGGCAGTTAATACAAGTTGGTGCCAAATTTCTAAATTCTTTTGTATTATTTGAGTTTTTTGAATTGAGCTAATGTATAAACTATAAAGCTTGGCAAGATGATAACTGGAATATTGTCCTGAACTAGTGAAGATTGAAAACTCCAGCTTCCTAAATTTCTTAGTTGTAGCTTTTTCATCCTTGCTTCAGTTGCTTGTGTTACACTGTCAACTTGCCTTGATCTCTAGCCCTACTTAGGACCTTGGGAGTTGGGACATTATATCAAGTATGAGAAAAGGTGGTTGTGAGATCTTTCAAAGTGAAGTATCTAATGTGAGTAGTATTATTGTATGTATTATACGAAGTAGTTGAATATAAGCATCTTTGCTCTGCTGAAGTTAGCACGACCCTCCATGGCACTTTTACTGCTCCTTATCGTCTCTAGTTATTCCATTTGCATAATTGCATGGTTAAATTTTGTAAGCTACTTAACAGTTCTAGAATGTGACACATTCTCTTTTTTGATATTTTGAAATAAAGTACTGTAGATCAATTTTGTTAAGAATTGAAGATTGACATTGTGTACTTCTTGTATCAGATTTGCTGTTTGATGGTATCAAGGCATTTGCCAAGGGTTCTCCAAACATGAATTCTCTAGTAGGATTTGGATCAGTTGCTGCTTTTATCTTGAGTGCTGTAAGACTGTTTTATCAATGAGAATTCTTACATGTCAATGCATTAATTTTGAATTATTTATCTGCTATTTTGTTAATATTGTATATTAATTTTCTTTCCCTTGCCCAGGTCTCACTTGTCAGCCCTGAACTTGAGTGGAATGCTTCATTCTTTGATGAACCGGTGAGTTATCACATTTACAATTACAAAGTTGTTATGATTTTCTTCTGCAATTTTCTCATTTATTTTTGAGGTCACTCAGCTGGCCACATTATATATTATAACGATGTTATAACTAACTAATGTGTTTTGATGTCTTCTTATTCAGTAGTACTCTGTATAATCTAATGCTATTATATTTAGGAATTCCTTTAGATCTGTTAGCAAATCAGACATAACCAAGCATGATATGTCAATATATATGACTATTGACTATCATCTCCTCCCATGATATAATGGATTCACGATATAATTATTAGATGATTAAAAAATGATTAATTACAAAAATTATCATATTCTACCAATGGTATATGAGGGGTCAGTGTTTCATGGAAAATTGTCTCCCATTTCCATGATATAATGGATTTTACTTCTTGTAGATGATATGTTAAGAACAAGAATTTTGTGCATCTTGGAAACTTCCCCTGTCCCTCCAAA